CGCCCGCTCCAAGGCCTAAATAATTCAAAAGGGAGGGTCAGGGCCCGAATTCAACATGGTTCCCGCCTCCCTCGACCAAATTACTTACACCTCTTCATTAAAATTTAAAGTAAAAGAAAAACTAACGCCATAGCCAAAAATGTGCAGATCTTAATTACATCCAGTTTCCCTCTTTAATATTTCAAAAACAATTACTTGATCTTTCTTTTTTCTTAAGGTCAGTCTATTCCTTTCAACTTCATGTTATTCTCATCAATCTTTCCATATTTTTTTTTAGATTCTTTTCTCATTCTTGCATAATATATATGTCCATATTGAACATCTTGCAAAACAAGGTGTATTCTTTTTTAGTAAGTTCAGCGTTGTTTGCGTAGATCCATGTAGACGAATTGAAACTCATTTCTTGGATTTTGTTTTTTAGGTTTCGTAAGATTAGTGGGTTCGCTGCAAATTTTGTTGTCTTTTAGCTAATCGGTGAAGTGGGTTTTGTCGTTTTAGCGAATTTCTGAAATGGGATTTTATTTTTTGTTATTTGGAAGTTGATTTCGTTTCTGGGTATTTTTCACTTGTTGCTTGTTTTTGTTGGATTAACGATGAGTGGAGATAATTTCACCTCCAAACCGCGTGCCGCTTTGGGAGATGTGACTAATTTTCCAGAAAAAAGGGGGTTTTCATCGATTTCTGATGATTTGGGGCTTAAATCTAGAGGTGGGTATAGTAAAAATGGGGATTCAGTTTTTGCAAAACAAGTTTGTTTAGGAGTTGAAAATCTGGTGAAAAAGAAATGCGGAACCAAAACTGGAGATGCCAGTGGCAATGAGAAAGGTTGCGATTCATTGAATACAAGCAGCAAGACTCGTGCCTCAAAGGAGAATGTAGCTGTTGTGTCTGTTGTCGCAGATAGGCCTAGTGATATGAAGGAAACATCTAATTTGATTGATGGTAGTGTTGATTTAGTTAAGAGCTGCGGTACGGGAACACAAAGTGTTGGGGAAGTTAGTTGTGCATCTAGTGGTTCAATGTATACAAGCTCTGGGCTGTGCGTGAAAGATAGTGATGATGAAGGGAAAGTCACTTCCAATGTTATGCTGATCAATCCAGTAGTTCAAGCGTTAGTTGGTGGTGCTTCTACAAGTGATGACATTGTTTCTGGAGTTGGTAGATTAGCTACTGATAAATGTGGTTCTGTTGAGTGGTCGAGGATGCCCAATTCGCAGGGTTTGAAATCATTTGAGTTGGAAAAGTGCACAACACTCAAGGGTGATGTCTGTGCCAATCTGAATGCAGGTGCTGACATGCTCAAAGCTTGCTCTTGTTCTTTTTGCTTGAAAGGTAATTGAAAGCCCTGCTTTTGTTGTAATTTCTATGGTTGCTATTGATTACGAAAATGTACTGCTGATATATGTATCTAAATAGAGTGTTTTGTTTTGCAATCTTCTATCAGCTGCTTATATTTGGTCGGACCTATATTACCAGGACATCAAAGGTCGACAATCTGGTATGCTTGTTGAGAACAAACCAATTACTGCAAGAACTGCCATTTACATTTCTTAAAAATGCAATGCTTTGATGATGGTGTGGCTTTTCTGGTTGTTGAGTTCTTGTGATTTCCTTTTCCTCTCAGCATTGAAGAAGAGTCAGAAGGAAGCAGGGATCTTGGTTAATAAATATTCCAGGGGAAAGCAGACAGACATTCATACCCAAGTAAACTCCAACAAATCCTTGAACTTAGAATCTGACCTCACTGATCACTGGAGGTCTCTTTTTCGACACATGGAAGACATGTTTGCCAATGAAAGCAGCCAGCTTGTGAGTGTAAATTTTACTGCTTTGTTAGATTACATTTCTCACGATGGAAAATTTGAACCCTTGCCCCTGGTTCGTCATTAGGATTCCCAATTCATATTGCTTGCCCCAAGTCTTTCCTTGAAACCCTCCATATCGTATCTGCCTGATTTTTTATTTATTAGTTGGCGTGGCTCTGCTAGAGTTTCAAATCACTTATTTTGATTACTCTTCTTTTCATGAACTGTGAATTTTGATCTGAATCTCAAATCTTCCTTGCAGCAAACTGGATATGTGACACTAAAAGATTTGAGGGACAACTGCAAGATTGATCTGGAGAGGATCACTGGAATGCCTCCAGACAGACTTTAGGGTACTTCTGATGCATTTGATGATTTTAGGTTGTCTTATCACTATAGTTCTTGTGATTTCAGCATGCAGTACATGTATTGTACCCATGCATTTTCTGCGTAATCTTGGATTGTCTGGAGAAGTTCTCCAATGTTTACTATTGTCATTAAAAATGTATTTTATAGCTGCACCATTTGTACGATCTGTTGTTGCAGTTACTTTCTGCATTAGCAAAAACTAACGTGATAGAGTAAAATTTCTGCTTTTCAGATACCTCTTTTTATGGTGGTTGTCATATTGGTGTGCTCAAGGTCTTTTTCTGGTTTGCTTATTGCTGAGTGGATGGATTTCTTAACAATGCATATGGCTTGAGATTTTTACCCTTTTGTCAGGTTCCAGGTCATACAAAACCTGTTTTTCTTGCACTGTTAGTTCTTATAGTGATTAGCCTTCTTGACTTTTAGGGGACTAAGTCCTTGCACAACAAATGAAAGCCTAAATGAAAATCTTCTTCACCTTTTATTAGATGAGGTTGTGCTTCTATGCGTTTTTGGTGAAATGAAGACGTAGATAATCAAATTTCTCTGTAGTGGAGTGATTTGGCAATATAGTCGTGGATAGCTATATAACCAGTCATTAGACTTTTGTACATCATAGAAATTTTCTGGTATGGTATACTTGTTCATAATCGGTTCAGGAAATTGTGATTGGACTAGTTTTCCCAGGCTTCTTCTATAGTTCTATCAAAGATAATGAGAAGGCTTTTTGTAGAGCAGGAGCATGGGAATTGTAATGAGATTCTTTTTGCAGATATCATGCCTTGAAATAATTTGTTTTAACGTAGGAATTCTTAGTGGTTTGGTTTTAGGTGTGCAGTCAAGCCTGTTCGCTGCTTTTATGGCGGGTTCTGATACTGTTATTACCAAATAACTAGTGCTCGGTTTAATATGTTGGACCTTTTCTTTTCTTTTCATTTTCTTCTCCCTTTTGCAATTTTTTAAACTCGAAATCTCATGGTTGATTTCCTACATAGAAACTCCAATTATTCAAGGTTGGGTCTTGGTATAGCGTGTTGGCTGTACAAGAACTCAGCCGGGGTATCTAGAAGGGCATTTAATCATTTTTTAACCTCTTACTGACGGAGATCATGGTCAGATATCGACATGATTCAGAGAACAAGGAATGTTTTCTTAAGCGAAGTTTTTTTAACGAGTCGGGGCTGGAGTTTTCCTGTTTTCAGAGCTTTGCGTGTCTGCTAAATTTGATTTTTATGTGAACTGATGAGCAATAGTGAACTTGGAGCTGTTGCACCATTGATTGTCATAATACTGGTATTATCACTTAGCATGAGTGAGGTATTATTTCAAGCTCTAAACTAGCTGACCTCAATTGCTTAGTTGTTTTTATTATTTGTAATTGGATAGCTATTGTGGGACAGGAGAACGCTGATTTTCGAGTAGGCTAAACTAGGTTATGGAAACAGGTGCCATGATATTGGGGAAAAAAATATAAAGATGGAATTTTTTGGGTGGGACATCTCTTGCAGATGCTTTCTGCCTGCATGATAGGCGAGAATCTGATTTCTCTTACTATCAATTAGGGTTTCTGCAAGTAATTTTAGTTGATGATTACGAGCAAGAATATTCTTAGGTGCAAATTGTGAATGAGGAGCAAATTTCAAATTTTAATGGTCAGTGATAAATTTTGCATCGGAGCGAGTTTAGACCTTTGAGGCATGCTACTGCTAAACAGTCAAATGTAAAGCCGTATGGCTGCTCAGGGAAGATGGGTTGGAATGAACGTTGCAAAATCAGTTTTACACGGGAGGAACCATCGCGGCGTTGCCTTAGTTTTGTATCAGGAGGCAGTAACCATGTCACGAAAGTCTTGTATTTGTTATAGAAGTCCTACAGTTGGACAGCTTTTTTCTCCATTGTCGGGGGAGGGGTAAGGGCTGTTGTCTAGGATGGCAACTTTATTCTTTTCAACTATTCCATCTTGCTTGTCTCTTTCTGCTCCTATCAGTCCAAGATCGATCCTTTTCATGGCCAGTTTTTCATAGCCTACGGAATTGACCTGGTAGTTGTTCTGAGTTTGATTTCCTTGGGTTGGTTCTAGTCAATTCAAAAGTGTTTTTTTGTGCTGTGGTTTTTTATTCATTTTAAAGATGGTTCTTACCATGTTATTACAGATTCATTTGGTTTTGTGTTTTAACCAAATGATATCATATTTTCCAAACTTTGGTAGGCTGCTGATTTATGGTAAAGTGACTAGTTTTTTTGCTTCTTGTAATGCTCAGCCTTGAGTTGCAATGAAGGCAGTCAAGGTTATGAATTCTATTGATCAACTATGGATGTTGTTTGTCTGTTATTTTATTCTATCCAAATGATGCACACATGCTAGTTCTTGGGTGAAGCCATGCTTCTGTATTCAACACCATGAATTTGTCAGTGAGAAACCACAACTCATCATTTCGATAAGTATTATGCGATGCTGCTTTGACTTTTTTATGAATATTTTAAAATTAGAGGAGCATCATTCCGTTCCTTGTATGAAGATTGGTCAATTACCCATATTTAAGTTCCAATAATTGCAGCTACTTCCTTGGCAGGTGGGGGAGGTGTAGTGCCGGTTCCCAAGGTCAAAAGGTTCTAGGGTTAGTGGACAGATTCCGGCGATAAGATTCTACTACTTGAAAACAACTATGGTGCTACACAGATCAAAACCCTATCATTCAAATCTCCTATGTGCGTCTGGGCGTGCCACGTTTCAGCCAGCTGATTTCTTTACGATTATCTTTGACAATTATTGGTGATGCAATGAGGTTGACATTTGTGAAGGTCAACTGGTTCAATCTGCGACGTGTATGCGGTGGTGGCCTGAAATTGTATTGAGATTGTGACGGAGCATGAAATAAATCACTAACAAAAACTGAGTCGATATACTTTTTTATGAGTTGTGATCGGTGTTTTTTTCAAGTGTGGTGATCCGAGTCGCCATTAGAGGGTCTTGCAATTTTATAGTCGAGCATTAAGGTTTTATAATATTCCATAATCTTGTATCAAATTACTACTTATTTCTAGTATGGTATTGGTTCTCAATCTATGTTGAACAGAGTTGAGTGGAATTACCCTAATTTTGATCTCGATAAAGATAAAAGGGATAGTAAGAATTTTGTGCTTAGTATGAATTATTAAAATAAACCAATGATCATAAATTTTGAAATAATTCTTAAACCTAATGATGAATCCCAAAATAATTATATTAGAATTATAGTACTACTATTATTATTTTGATGGGCGTAGAATTTTTTGTGTGAAATAATCCTAAAATCCAATGATAAGTCTTGGAAAATTTGAGACTAAAATTAAAACTTCGGGTGTAATGGTCTCTTTGATTATATTCTTTTCGGAAGCCAACTTATCCGTACATTTATTTTCTTAAAAAGAATGATAAGGAGTTTAATGTGAATGGAATCTTACTATACATAAGAGAGAGAGAGAGAGAGAGATTTTCTTCTCAATTCTGTGAACAGTATATACAGAAATTAACGAGGTAATAATGAAAAAACAATAAAAAAAAAATTAATATAAAAAATATCAATTTCAATTAACTTTTTAAAAATATTTAAAAACACAATGCAAATTATATTTTTTAAAAAATTATTTTTTATATGTTTTAGATCGTTTTGAAACATTTATCTCAAAAATAATTTTTAAAAAAATAAAAAAAATATCATTTTGATGTATTTTAACATGAAAAATACTTTGATAAGCAACCACAGTCACACTTTCAAATAAACCCATCAAACCGGAAACATCATACATAAAAACATTTTGAGGGTTAAAATTAAACAAAAATATTTTACAAAAATCTATAATAGAAATTGATACATACATAAAATTTATTGAATAAAATAAAAAAATATTATGCAAGGCTATATATATTAAAAATCTTATAAAAAATAAATATTTTTATTTTTTAAAATAAATTTAATCTATATAAAAAATCATAGATAAATCATACTAACTTTTTTAAAAATTAAACACACTAAATGTAATTTAAAAATAATTACAATCTAAAAAAAGCTAAATAAAAAAATCACTTAGAAAATATTTTAATTAAAAAATAATGATTTTTTTTTAAATGAAGCCAGGAAATTATTGGATCCCGTAAGCTAGACCACAGACTTGGCCCATCAAAAAACATCATAAACATGGGCTCTTTTTTTTTTAAGTTGATAGGATGCAAGACAAGTCATCCGCCCCAATCATTTAAAAATAAAAAAAACAATGCATTATCTAGGGATCCCTAAATTTTGGCTGCTGTGGGACTGAAAAAATAAGGTTTCTAATGGTTTCACCAACAAACTCATTGTCAACCCATTTCTTACCCAAAATATCTAGAAAATACATTAGAAACCTTGTCAGATCAAAAAATATCTCAAAACATAAAATCAACCCGAAACTAAAAATCTTTCTGAGTCCAGATTTATTTTTCTAGACACTTTCAATATAAAAAAACACCTAATCTGAGCTCTTCTTATCATATAGAACTATTTAATATAAAAATCAACTATTCTAGTAGCTGAAATCATTGGCAACAATAAATTTCTCTTTATATCGAAATTGAGTGAATTTTTTTTTCTCTAGAAAAAAAACTAAAAAATAAAGAAAATGAAATTTGATATCAAAATTATATTTTTAAAATTTAAACGAAATGATTACTTAATAGCTAAAAAAATAAAAGACTAAAATGAATTTTTTAATTAAATTTCAATTCTGCCAATTGTTTTATCAATGTTTTTCACTTTATTTTTTGTTTTTCAATTTAATACTCTCTCTTAAAAAATATATAATTGGGTGTTAATTTAGATTTAAAAAGTTAAATCAGGCAAATAAAAATTTAATAATAAAATTGAAAATTATAAAAAAAATTATTATTTTAATTTATAATGATTTGTGAAATGTTGGATAGGGTAACAAAAAGAAATCTTTTAGTGTATACAAGCCACCACCCTAACTATTTTAACAGCCATGCACTTGAAAACACACAATGTATTTTTTTTTATATATATGTAGTGCATAATATACAATGTTTCAGCAATGAAAGAGCCCTGCATTGCTTCAAAGCCTCTCAAGCCAGCAATCAGTCATTCATTTCACAATAAACAATGACTAGATTCATTGGTCAACACCAATTACAAAAGAGCTCAGTACACTAATTATTGCGATACAATGAGATCTTTATCTTTTCCATCATACAGTAAAGAA